TGGAAGACACAGCTCAAAGCAAGAAAGATGAAAAAGAGAATTTGCTGAGACAAGGGCACCGGAGTCCACGACACCAAGAAAGCCGAACGTATGTTATCCTGTCATGTCTAAGTGCCTCAACCTCCCCTCATATGTCTACTCCTTACATTTCCCGATGTAATCTCAGTCCTATCATGCAACACTGTTGTTTTTCGTGCAGTCCCAATACCTCCATTCCTCCTAGTAATCCTCTTGGCCAACAAACATTTCCTCTTCTTCCCCTCCTTCCCCTTTTCACCTGACCTATTCTACCCTTTTTAACTATCCTGCCCCCGACTCCTTGATATAGCACTACCTGCATCCCCATCTGACAACCCCCCTTGTTGTTAAGCACCACAGCCCATGCTTAGCACGACACCAACTCAGGCTCGTTCGATCGAACTGGCAGCTTAAACAAGCAGTGTTGCACAGCACTACAGGGGGATTACACAGACACAGGTCAGTTCCGATCGGTGAGGCGGTGGCACCAGGTAGGCCCAAGCCCACAACGGTTTCGGTGCAGCGGTATTTCAAACCACCACTACCTTTTACTACGGTCCTGGTCGCCAAGAGGGCCTGGCCCTTTTTCCAGTTCCTTGCATCAGATTGGTGATCAGACCGCCGCAGGTTACTCCCACGATCTGGCATGGGTTAGCCCGATTTCTCACTACTGGAGCTGCCAGTGCTCCCCAAACTATTGTGTCCAACCTGTGCCTCTTGCCAGATGTTGAACCACACAAAATTGTGGCAGCAAGTTATGGGCGCACATGGAAAATCCATCGTGCTGACCTGCACCTTCAGGATTGCAATCGAAAGGTCCAGGTCGGTCGGTGGCCACGAAAGCCAACTCCTTTTCTGGCCATGCTACCAGACCAGTACACAAGCTCCGCACAACCAGCACGGCTCCCGGGCGTGCAGACCTGAATTAATCATCCAGCCTGAAGAAAATAACACCAGAGCCTCTTTTTGACCAATGACACCAAAATCTGACATGGTACCAATATGCCCACAGTGTGTGACAGAAAACAGACTGCGGGTCTGATACTCGGACTGCTAGCAGCCATGTCAGTTGTCTGATGCAAAACAGACTGCAGGTCTGTTCCCAAACAGATGGCAGCCATGTCCGATTTATTCTTTTTTTTTTCACTTGATTTTTGTTGTTACATCTCTTCGCTTTTTTTTCTCTCTCTTTGTCTGTTTTATATGCGCTTTTAAATGTCTCAAACTGCGGCCCGTTCTCATGGCCCTCTGACAGAGGCCATGCGGCCCGAGCGGGCCCGGTTTGAGGTGTCCTCCCCTTGTCCCTCCAGGCCCATGCCGACCCTTTGGTTTCACGAGGCTTATACAGCCGCACTGGTGTGGTTTAACTTGCAGCAGGAGCACCCTGGAAAGGTAGGGCTGCTGCACCCTGGAAAGGTAGGACATGATTGTACTTCGCCAATTCTACTAAGTGCACCAAAAGGAGACCTTCCCAGAACCTCTAGCTCGCACCTTGGGAAGGATGGGCCTGCTGGCAGCTCAGGGGCATCAGAAATCCCAGACCATAGTGTACTCATGGCAGCAGGTACCTATTGGTAAAAAAGCTTCAAGTAGTGAATACTTTTGAACATCGCTCTGCTTGAAGTTACACCGTAGTAGCCGCAGAAACTGCTAATACTCCCGTACATTACATGGTCATTGGATCAGTACCTCTGGGCCTCCGCCCTCCTTCATGCAAGCACAGACTCGAACCGGCGACCTTGGCCTCGAGAGCCAAGTATCATAACCACTACAGCCAGGACACGCTGTTCAAAAGTTGAACCATACCGGCCATGATATCCGTGCCACCCCTGCAAGGCTGTAGTGTCCACGCTCAACGTACACCATACACGCCATCACATGGACGCTAGCAATCACCGCACATTTCGCTCCAAGTAGCACATGACCCGCATCGGTAGTGTAGCCCGCTTACTTATGCGGGAATTTAACTGCCCGCCAGCTCATGGGAGCTTTCCAATGTTGCACCTGGCTCTGTCCTCTGGGTAGTCCCTCGAGGGCACATCGCACCAACGAACACAATGGTTGCTACAGCATCAACGAACACGAGTGCAGGGCAGATCGGCTAGTCCCTCGAGGCCATCAGATAAATGATGAATGTCACAGAGCTGTTGCTACTAGTTAGCAGGGTCAAAGAGTCACCCCGCAATCGCACCTCCCACCCGCTCAATGAATCCCCCGTTTTTTCGGGGCATTCATTGCTGACAGACTGTGCACTTCCACAGTAAATTGTTACAAACTTTGTAATGGGACGCCGGACCGGTTTTCCAGCAGGTGCGGCTCCCCACCAATGGAACGGAGCCTCCAGTGATACTACTAGGTGGGGCTGCTCGTATCATCCCCTCCCCCCCTAGTGGCCGTCGCCTGTGGTCTTTTTCTTAAACCACAAGTACTAGGCCAGACTATCGGCCGTAGAAAAAAATAGAGTAGAAACATTTCTAGTCGGATGAATTTGGGCACTACTGTGGTGGCCCACGCATTTCCTAAAATTGTGGCTTGTTAACGGGCACGACTTTAGGAAGTACTGGTGGTTCAAGAAAGGAGGCGGTGTGTGGGGTGCGGGGAAGAGACGGGGAGGACTTTCCACCTTATACTGGAGCTCCCCTCGCAAAATATTTCATGTATTGAAGGACACATCATACATTAGTAGTTTGTGATGATCTTTCCAAGCAAGCTCAAGGTTATATGCAAATGTCTCTTTTACGAAGACGTCCTCCAGAATGTGAAGCTTACCCAGGAGATGTTTTTTTATTTGAACTCTCACTTATTAGCAAGAGCTGCTTTCAACTGCTGCTTGAAATGGCTCACAGTTGGACAGTTGGTACACAAATGAACTGTTGAAACACAGACCCCAAATTGGAACCCAGACAACTCTCGAACAGAGTATAATAACCGTGAATTACCTCGGGCCGGTCAGCTCAATGATGCTCTCTCTCACTGCCGTCACCCTTCCAAAAAACACACAGAGAATGATAAAGAAGATCCTGGAACAAATCCTGGAAAAGTGACTGAATACACTGCACAGTGCACACAGGATTACGCGAGAACATCCTTCGCAGAACGAGCATTTACCACAAGCAAAATTCTGGTGTGACCGAACGCCATCAAGCATGAAACCTACTGAGCTAGCCGACCCGTGCCGATTTCTCTGCTCGTTAGCGCAAATCAAGGGCATCAACATTTCCACCATTCAAAGTAAAGAAGTGAATGCAAAGGCCACCCCAGCGAGCTACCAACGTTGGCTAGCCCTGGCCATCCTCCCAGGCCACCGAAAGTCACGACAAAGGGAATTATTAGAGCCCAGCACCACCACCGTGCCGCTCAAGCACGAAACCTACCGAGCTAGCCGATCCGGCGCATCAAATGGGTCGTTAGCCATGCCGTGCCAATTTCTCTGCTCATTACAGCAAAAACCAAGGGCATCAACATTTCCCCCCATTCAAGTAAAAAAGCAGCACACAAAAAGGCGTAACACGATTTCCCTGAGAACCACCACAATGCTAACCGACAAACCACAGACCGAAAGGTCACCCAGTATCCATGGATTACACCAGAACAGACAGTTACACTTCAATAAATAAAAAAATAAAAAAAATAAAATAAAAAAACAGACAGTTACACTTAACTGGACTTCAGAGAGATGCCCACTACTGCCTTCACGCAACGGCGGCACCGCATATAAAACAGACAGTCATTGTTGTATCAAGATTGAAATGATCTGCAAACACAGCTTAGACGACCGTGCATTCTATTCAGGTGATGATGGTAATAGCTTGTCCCCCTAAAAGCACCAAATCTCCGATTGTCAGTAGCCAGTTACATGCAGATCCCCACTCATCAAAGTTAGTATTTGGACTCTCAAATGTCAGTAACCTGCCAAGCCGTATGACACTGAGGTATGTTACAAGCACCTCTGGAGGTTCTTGCAAACAAGTCTTTTCTGTCACTATGATCTGCAAATGCTGGGGAGAAGGAAAAAAAAATAAATAAACAGAAAGGTCACACCGCGGTCGCACCGCTATGATAACCAAGAAAAAGAAAGACCTACCTACATTCTACACACCTCACCTCTGAGAACCAGTTTCTTAGAAACCCCTGGTTTTTTTTTTTTGTTCTTTTTTTCCTTGAATAGAAAGTACGTTCCAATGCGTAGTGCGTACGTTGACTTCGTGCGTTTTTTTTTTTTTCAGCGTAAGTTGAATTCGTATATACGTTGTATCCGAAAAGAATCGTACGTACACTGTACTCGGAGTGTGCAGAATTTCAATTTCTTAAAATTGTAATGCACACAACTTTTGCCTTGAGAATCCCGTGGAAATTCGCAACACAAAATCGAGAAAAGAATGAACAGAGAAATACAAGTATTTATTTTATGGTAGAGACTCCGGTTTGCTTTCTTTTTTTAATTTTTTAAAAATGACGATTTTGTCTGACACTTGAAAAGATCCAGGGGAAAAAAAAGGACGTACTCCATTGGCATACAAACAACTTGTGCATGAGGGTCTCGTCAAAAATTCACAGCCAAATTCTAGAAGAAAACAAAACGACCATTCGGTACCAAGGTCCCAAAAAAGTTTCTCTGAAGTTCATTCATGACATATTGCATTCCAATACAACATACCTCGTACGTTCTATTCGCACATACAATGCACACGTTTTATTTTTTTCGGATTAAGACGGCAGTCTCCGGTCCCCAGATGGCCATTTTGCGGCCGACAGTACCCAACCGTCACCACCGTCCCTAATGTGTCTTTCCCTACCAATGCCAGCACTGCGACTCAGCAGTGCACAACAAAGAACGTTTTCCCAGGCACGAACGGCACATTTTTTTTCTGCAAATGACTGCGTATGCCATTACAGCCCCGTCCGCTCACAGTCGCATACCTGCATTCCTCTGGATACAACGTCCTATAATCACAAACAGTTTTTTTTTCCCTATCCGACAAAGTCATGGTGATCATTTGTTGCATCCTGACGAACCCGGTCCTCATGTGGTGTTGTATTCAGGGGAAGACAGTAGTGTGAACATGGCATGGCTTCCCATACCAGGGAACACACTCACGACCTGATGATCATTTGTTGTGTCCTGACGAATCTGGCCATTATGTGGTGTTGTATTCAGGGGAAGACAGTAGTGTGAACATGGCATGGTTTCCCATACCAGGAAACGCACTAGCCACCCGATACAACACATTTCAACATCTAAATCGACGCAGGCCATATGTATGCTCCGTGAAGATCGAGATGTGAATTTGAGTTGACCTCAATATGATCCAATGGACAGTCGGACAAGCAGATGATCACAAAGACGCCAACAACAAAAATAAGGCAGATGAACACGAAGGCGCCAACAAACAAAAATAAGGCAGACATGTCCTTAGGGACATCCGTTAAAATTGGAACGATGCAGAGAAGATTAGCATCGCCCCTGCGCTGGATGACAAACATAAAAAAAAAGGAGAGAGAGACATAATGAACGGAGCACTTCAGAAATGAGTGGGACAATCACTGAGGAGAGCAGATAATGTAGGCTCTGCTACCATGATACAAGGAGAGGCCAAGAGTTACAAGGAAGAGTACACTGACGGACATAAGCAAACTACAAGTGCTACTGCACTGAATAACATGCACAAAACACAAGTGAGAGAGTACAAGCTGAAGAAAAGAAAATGCACAGAGTACAAGCTGAAGAAAAGAAAATGCACAAGAGTACAAGCTGAAGAAAAGAAAATGCACAAGAGTACAAGCTGAAGAAACTGAACAAACTTCAAGTGAGAGCACAGTGAAAAACTTGGGACAACCTAAAAGCGAAATCGCACTGAAGAGAATGCACAGCGAGAGGGATTGCAAAATGCATGCCACACTCCATGAGATCAAAACATGCAAGCAAGCACGCAAACCCACACACATATGCTGAAGAAGAAACCAAACTCAGCTACTCCCATAGAAAGCCAGCCGCAGCTTTTTTCAGATCACACGGAAATCGCAACAACACTCTTCTCGGAAAAGCCTCCACCTCCTTATCTCAAACCCTCGCTTGGCTGCACCAAGAACAATTAACCGCCATGCCACCATCAAAAATTGCACAGCAACAGAAAGGCCGTTCGCTTGGAGAGCTACCGCTCCCTTCCCAACGTTGCTTGCCTAATCTTTGCATCCACCAGGTGACCTCCTCAACACACACACCCGTCGGTTATTGGGGTATCTATCGCAAGCAACAATTGGTTACATCCAGCAGCAGTCCAGCACCTTCCATGAGAGAGAGAAAGAGAGAGAGGAAAGAACCTGTCTTCGATCTCGTGAAACTGCTGTTTGGTAGGAAGCAACCTTTCAGGCCTCGACAAAACTTCCATGCGATAAGGTGTACCACCCTCCTCCAGGTCCCGGAGAAAACGGCAAACACTCATCTTCTGGACTGCAAGAACACCCCCCACCGCTATTCACGGAACACCCCCATAACTCTGAGTGAGCTCTCTCCGGTTACACTAAGTGGTTAACCAGCGCGGGTTGCTACGGGACAAAAGAGACGCCGTGAGGGAAGCATCTCCCTTGGGCGCAGTCTTGCATTTCAGGCTCATCAAAAGGACCAATCGGCAAAACTTCAAGAGTACGACAGTTCTTTCCTCCGCCAACATAACTTCGACACCTTCAGCAACTGCTGTCCTCACCATCTGTTGTCCAAAGGTTTGACTTTATAGATGCGGACGATCCAGTTCTGCGATGTGAAAGCCTCCTCTACATACTCCAGGTTGAAATCCTTCCGACCTATCTCCGCTCCACGAGCGCGATCAAAACTGCACATGCAAGATCATCAATCGCGCAAGACCATTAATAACTTGAAACTGCTTCACATTAAAAAATATATATAAAAATAGAAAGAAAGAAAAAAGATGCATAATCTGAAAAAAAAAACTACCCAAAGCCACAATCAGGCATGGCACATGCGGGATCATCCATCACACGAGATCATCGAAAACTCCTAATGGCTTGATAAGAAGCACAACAATGTCACAATCAGAGAGACAGAAAAACACACAACAGACCCCGTCTGTAAGAAAAATCAGCAAGGGGACCAAAAAGCCAGGTTGAAAGAAAACATTCAGCCAGAAATATTGTCATGCAAATTTGGCAGCAATCAAGGTCTACGATAGTTTTTTTTTTTTCAATCTGCCAAAGGAAATTTCATTAAAAAAAAAAAAAAACAATAGTGCCAGAAGCTTTGGTGCTGATAGCCTGATACTCAAACTGTTCCCAAGATGGAGTGTGACATCTTTCATAATCGAAGAAGAAATTTCAAAACCAACCCATTGGAATCCTGAGAATTGCACCCCAGTCCCTCTCACAACCATCCATGTACAGATCACACAGATCACGCACCTATGGCCATGACTGCTATACGCAAACTCTTTAATAGGGAGCAAACGAATGAAGCTTTGTATTTTCTTTTTTTTCTTCTTTAAAAAAAAAAAAAAGGWACCATGCACTTGTGCCCTTTTCAATAAAAAATGCTAACCAACAGCAAAAGGGTTATCTGCACAGGCAAACTAGAGCAAAATCAGAGGCTGGAAGACTGAGCCCTGCTTGCTGCAAAATGAGATGAGAGGTGAGAGGTGACAGGTGACACTCACCCTGGACCGTGATTATATTCTGTCCTCATTTCTCCAAATCGGTAATAGCACATCTTATACCTGCACCAAATGGAAAGAGGCAAAGGATCAATAGGGGTGTGCAAGAGCATCAGAAAGCGCACATTGCTCTTGATACCGCCTTGCCAGCGAACATGCGGCATTTTCAGGTCTGCAACGGAATAACCAGACTCTGCTCTCGCACGAGGTGCAGCAAACACAGATTGCGATAAGGCGAGAGAGGTCATAAGACTCGTAACTGATCAAAACATTTCCCGGCCAACAGGTTGCGGATCTAGTGGCAAGGTTTTACCACAACAAGAGTTGGCTCTGAAGAACCAGAAATTCGTCAATCACACAAAAACCAAGAACCAACAAAGACATTCCACCCACTTCATTGTGTACCACGTCCTACCTGTGAACCAGCACGGGAAGGATGGAGATCCGAGTGCGTGCTGGACACAGTGTACTTGTTCACCAACATGGAGATCGTTTTTTTTTGGGGGGGGAGGGGGGGGAGGGGGGGGGAGAAAGGAACATGAAAGCAGAATGAAGAATACTTCAGATCTAGTCCCCGATGACTAACTCTACACCCCTGTAGTCAGAAAGTCATTGGTGCTAAACTGAACTTAGGAAATCTCCCACATGAATACACTAAGGTCACAATGTCGCACATTACTACCAAAGATTAGTGCCACGGTGGTCAGAAATGAGCGCTAAGTTGAGCTTGGGAAATCTCCCACATACATACATTAAGGTCATAATGTTGCAGATTACTACCAAAGATTAATATGCCATGGTGGTTGGTATCCTACATACCCACCCACCCACAATATACGAGTTATCAAAATGTCGATAGGATCCTATCAGAACAGATTCCCTTCCAAATGTCATAGACCTGACCACATAACTCCCACTCACTGATTCCTTGAGAGTGCCCTGCCCTGTATATCCGACATCGCTTAGGAATTGAAATGTACTAGACACAACCAAACAGCTGAAATGTCAGCAAGAGGCAAGCAGAAGCACAACACAGAAAGAAAGTAGCACAGATTGGCCATGTGCGCCTATCCACAGACGCACACATAACCATGGAAACAGAAAGAATGCATTAGTGTTCGACTGATGCACAGGGCTTCCCACATCTGTGCAGCTAGCCAGAATATGCTTACAGATGCATTTGGTAGCACTGACCGGCGGCCGCACACCTGCTATCTAAATCAAACAAGCACTAACAACCTATTCAAAACAGAAACACAAAGCATGTGTGAATGCATGTATGCACAGCCATATTCACAATTTCCCATCTTCTAGCAGCAGCACATACGATCGTCTCCCCTGCAAGGAACTTCTTTCACAGTAAAAACCAATGAAAGGTCAATCAACAAAGTGCTCTGCTGGTTAATCAACAAAGCGATCTGCTGGTAAGTCCAGAGATTTTGCCCAGAGGAGGGCAGGGGAGGGGGCCGTGCCGCAGGGCGGTGCAGGGAGGGGGGAAAGGGAACAAAAGGAAAATCACCACTCGGACTTTTCCCAGACTTCGGGAGAGAAAGATTACAGCAGGGGGTGATGCTTTTTCGGTATTCAGAGCTTGATCCTCACCGACGGAAGGGAAGAGCCTCTGGTAGAGCACGCTGCCGCTCTCTCTACGGATAGGACTTTCTCTTATTCCCGAGAGAGAGAGAGAGAGAGAGAGAGAGAGAGAGAGAGAGAGAGAGTTGCCTTTCACGGCAAGGTTACTTTGGCCAAAGGTCCATGAAGTACACTCACATTAGGCTGTTGAACATCCGTTCAGTCCCTTCTTTATCAACCCGGTATTCTCCCTGGCTCGTAAGGTACTCTGACTCCTTGATGTGAGGGAACACCCCACCGCCAATCCTCACCATCCAGAGGAATCTGCAACAAAGGATTGCAAAACAACCACTCCTCTTAGTCCCAGAAAGGGCACCACTACTACCCAAACCACCAGTGCCACAACTACCGTATGCATTCCACCGAAGCACCACATCACACCAGAATGGAACTGCTCACGAGTTAAATCTCCACTCTGTCCACTTTTTTCTTTTCTTTTCTTTTCTTTTCTTTTCTTTTCTTTTCTTTTCTTTTCTCTTAACTCCCCACTCTGTCCACTCTTCTCTTCTCTTTTCTTTTCTTTTCTTTTCTCTTAACTCCCCACTCTGTCCACTCTTCTCTTCTCTTCTCTTCTCTTTTCTCTTCCACTCTTCTCTTCTCTTCTCTTCTCTTCTCTCAACTCCCCACTCTGTCCACTCTTCTCTTCTCTTCTCTTCTTTTCTTTTCTTTTCTTTTCTTTTCTTTTCTTTTCTTTTCTTTTCTTTTTTCTTTTCTTTCCCCTTTTCTCTTCTTAAAGCACTAGTACCTCTGTCATTGTTGGGAAAATAGGGAAAACTGGCAGTTTTCCCAAACTCCTAAAAAGGTCGGGCTGAGCCCGACCACAGCCACAGTTGATAAATCTCATCGGCGGCCGCCATTTCGTTTCGGCCTCCTAAAAGATCAGAGACCCACCAGAGGCCTCCCTATTTTCCCAACTGGTGGAGGTACTAGTGATTAAAAAAAAAAAGAAAAAAAAAAAAGATGTCTTCTCCTCGTCGGGGAACAGCTATATATTGTCAAACAGAGCTTCCTGGTAAACCGTAGGCAGAGAGGGAGAAGGGGACAGCAAACGAGGGGCTGTGACAGACTGTTTCGTCAGAGTTTCACCGACTCATCAGATATTTTTCTCTCACCTCACATATTTTTAACTGGCGTCTTCCATGTCATGGAACATATCTTCTCCTTTCACTACCTGCCTACCACTACTCCTAAGGGTACACAGGGGACCCCTGCAAGCATAGCTTTCTACCTCTCTTCGGTGAAGGGAGGTTCTGGCTTTTTGTCCTTTCCTGCCCTATCCGTTAAATTCCTTCTCATGCGTAAGGCTGTTTGAGTTGCAGTGCCACTCCAACCCTCTGTCTGTGTATAAGGAGTGTAGATCCCTCTTCAATCCAACCGAACTTCAATTTGGTAGGTAATCCAAGAGACATCGCGCACACTGTAAGCCTGTCCACAAAGAGAAGGTTGACCACACTCTTGCCCTGTCAAAATTTCTATGCATAAACCAATGGGAGAAGCCGTTCACGTACCAGATGAAGTAGGTAGTAGGTTACCCACATCACACAGGATATTACGCTGACTCGAAATGTGCATAAACACATCTCTATCCCTAAGGAAACTCCCGCTACTTGGACAATCTTACCTGCATTTCTCAGGTTACCTTGGAAGACCATCAAGTGTGAATCCTTCTCCCGAAGACTACCAACTGGTTCACTGTAACAATTTGCATGATCTATCCTTTCCCCCTCCACACTTCACTGTTCCCCAGGCCTCTGCATCTTTCTTACCCTTCGTTCTTTGTTTCTTTACATGCCGCATCACCCTTCTCATAGCACTTCATACTTCATAAGGCTGAGAAAGATGATTTCCCTGCCTATATCGACTCGTTCAAGAGGATAAACATTCTGATAGCACTTCATACTTCATAAGGGTGAGAAAGATGATTTCCCTGCCTATATCGACTCATTCACGAGGATAAACATAACTACGAGCGGTGGCGTCGAGTGATCACAGCTGCAAAAGAATGTGACTTACTTGTTAATGTCGTCCGAGGAGTAACCGGTCACACCTCCAAAAACGACAAGCACATAATCCACGTCCAAAGCCTTCATGATTTCATACGCTTCCTCTTCTGGGGAAGCCATAGCTGTTCCCACAGTCGCAATATGTGTGTTATTCCAAGTGTTGTTGTCAACAATCACAGTTCTATTCGCAATTGCTGTAATTTGATATCCGTAGTCCCACCACGACATCACCTTTGCATCTGGAGGCGTGTTCTGCCTCAGCCAATAATAGGACTCACGGAAATCGTCAAAGATCACACGCCTGCCATCACTCTGCCTGGCCGAGAGCACGATGGATGGAGAAGAGTAAGCTTCTGATGTGACCCATACACAATGGGCAGCATAGTTCATCAGCAGGTAGCTGGCACCAATCACTGCAACCATTGCCATCTCCTTCTGGAATGGAAGGGGCTGCTCAAAACCACCCTACAGGCCATAGACACAACGGCACAAAGATCATGGGAGCAACAACCAGATCACCAAAAAAAACTTAGACAAAAACACAAACTTAACTCAACAAAGCTTTGATGCTTCAAAACACAAACTTTGACCCGCTGAAAATAACAGCCATACATACCCAACAGATTCACTTATATAGGCCTACAAACACATAGCCAGTGGCGAACAAGAGTTCGTCATCGATGCAATGAACCACTGAACACACGAAACAGTAAAACTCTCTCTCTCTCTCTCTCTCTCTCTCTCTCTCTCTTTTGTTCGTCATTGATGCAATGAACCACTGAACACACGAAACAGTAAAACTCTCTCTCTCTCTCTCTCTCTCTCTCTCTCTCTCTTTTGTTCGTCATTGATGCAATGAACCACTGAACACACGAAACAGTAAAATTCTCTCTCTCTCTCTCTCTCTCTCTCTCTCTCTCCATATACATCTCACACACACACACATACACAGAGCTATTACGTGTAACACAAGAACAAGAATGGGCACTGACGATTCTTAGAGCATATATCTGTTTCGAACATGCTTCTTTCCCACGGGCAGCATCACTCAACCTCGAAAGACCAGTCCAGCAGCACTCAGCCAGAGGAAGTGACAGGATCACCACTTGTTGCACCTGGAATGCCACAACTGCCACTAACCTGCACAGGTTGCACCTGGCCCCACAGAGTCTGCACACCCAGGAGAACTCTGACAAGGGCAATTGTGCAACTAAGGACTGACCAACGGCAATCATGAGCTCTTCCCGTTAGTGAGAACGCAATGGTTTTTTTTTTTTTACCCTTGACGAAACGTGAAAGGAACCAAAATGCCGCAGCGGGGTAGATTGGTTCATTTTCGGCCAAACCGCATAGCCGGGTGTAGAATGCAATAAATAAAGTGCTCGTACCTTGGTAGACGACTTGGAGGAGGAGGACTTCAAGGAGCCTGTGGTCGAAACCTTCTCCCGTAGAATCGAGCAAAAGTTCTTTAGACTGGCAGATGCACCCACGCCGCCAATGAGACACACTGCTGGGGTTGCGACCAAGATCAGTCGAACCATTACTCCAGCAAAATAAAGGCTGAAAAGCCCATATATTATAATAAAAATGGTGGCATCATTTGCCTTCTTGAAGCAGTAATAGAGCCCCGGCGGAAACAGAAGCATGAGGATGTGGTAATCAAAAAGGAACGACGCCCACGTTGTCGGTTGATGCTCAGACACGGATGCAATGATCGGGATATGATCTTTCGCGTACGTTGGATCCAAGAGGGAGTAGAACCGACCAGTCCACGGAGAAATATACCCCGTTGCCATGCCAATAATCAATGCCAGACCCCCAACAGACCCTGCCGCAATGAGGGTCACCTTCAAGAAGGCCTGGAACAGTTTTGGGTCCGGCAGCAGAGATTTTATCCACTGGACAAAGAAGAACACCTGCAAAGACACAATACAAACAGTGACAACCAGTTAACAGAGACCAGCGTCAGAAAAAGGGCACTACTCGTCTCTGTCCATCACACAAAGAGTCCTACAAAATGAGGCAAAACGTTTCAGAAACTTAATGACAACCACCAAAAAAAGGAGAAGGCCCCAACGTAACCAACTACCACGTTCCCATTCGGTGCAGGTCATCCACCACGCAGCTTTCTGTCCACTTTCGGCAGCAGCACCCTCTGACTTCTCCTGTAGCACACAACCTTTTCACCCTTCCCCCGTTCCAGAGGTGATCAGCTATACAACTACCCTACCTTCTTCCCCCGAAGACAACGCACCCTCGTTTTGACTGTATCGGGGCGGAAACATATTCAGGGTGCGTTACGTCCGGGGGAAGACGGTAGCTACAGGTTCCCAACTGGTAAGAAAAAACATCCTTCGCCCTCCCCAACGCACCCTCGTTTTGACTGTATCGGGCCGGAAACATACCTTGTATACGTTCATTTTCAGGGTGCGTTATGTTCGGGGGAAGACGGTAGCTACAGGTTCCCAACTGGTAAGAAAAAACATCCTTCGCCCTCCSCAACGCACCCTCGTTTTGACTGTATCGGGCCGGAAACATACCTTGTATACGTTCATTTTCAGGGTGCGTTACGTTCGGGGAAGACGGTAGCTGCAGGTTCCCAACTGGTAAGAAAAACCATCAGCCTTCCCCTCCCGTTTTCAAAGGAAATCACCTTCCACCCCATCATGTTCGATGCAGGTGGATCCACCACGGAGCTATTCTGTCCACTTTCGGCAGCAGCCTCTCACCTATCCTGTAGCACACAGAACGTGAGTACGTAACTGTACACTCATGTTCAACCCTGCGAGGAATCAAACCTGACAACGGCCAACGACGACGGCCAGCACCGCCACTGCCACCGCCACCGCTGTCTTCTCAATGGACATCGACACCGCACACCCATCTTCCCCAGTCGACGCCCCACCAATCTCGTGCTCAACAGCCAGATGCGCCTTAACCACTGCAGCCCTGACCCACCACGGAGCTTTCTGTCCACTTTGTGCAGCACCCTCTCACCTATCCCGTAGCACACCATCTACGCATGTAACTGTACCGTCATGGTCGACCCTGCAAAGAATCACGATCTCTCGCTCAACGCACTGATCGGTATATCCACCTCCTCACCCCTGCACGGCTGCAGTGTAAACGCACTCCCCCCACACGGCACCCCTCGAGACCCTCCTCACAGAGGCCGATGGCCCTGCAGCACACACTCAGAGTCGCATTCAAAGATTTTACTCTTACGGATGCGACTGGTGCCGGTCCCACTTCCTGCACCGACGAATATCCATGCGAGTGGTAATGTCCCAAGACAGGCACAGCTGTGTGCCCTCAGTTCCTGACGTCTACGCTCACTATTTCCGACACGATGTCCTTCCAATCGGTCCCAGATATGGGCGCTCCTTACGACAGACAGACGGACGCTCCAAAACCACAAGTGCTGATCGCAACGCTACAGCTTAAGAACTTGAACACCAATAAATATTCAATGGACCACGGATCAGATATTAACCGGCTCAGAACAGATACTACACTTGATCTCAGCCAAAGGCCGAGAAAGATATACGGCAGCCTACTTCGGGATACAAGTAAGACATGATGTCCCCTCATGACCTACCAGCGAATCATCCTGATGCAGGTCACCAGCAGACAGACACCGTCCACACCAGTATACTTTTCCATGGGTTGGACTTGAACCATGAACGGGAACAGGCCGACGCTCTCACTACCCTTACTGGGACGCAAAGAGCATTTCATGAGCCTCCTTGGGGCTGTGACCAACGAAATGCTCTCATATTTCACCAGATTCTATTTGAAAGAGGAATTTTCACACCCAGGCTGTGTTCCCGGTCTGACTCGACATCAATCAGAGGGCGACCTGTTCAACATCCAGGAATTCTCTCTCTCTCTCTCTCTCTCTCTCTCTCTCTCTCTCTCTCTCCCCCCCCCTGTAAGCACAGGTGCAAGGGCGACTCAGAGTGGTGACACAAACCTGTGAGATGAGTGTGTCAAGAAGACGTGAAAAACTTTTACTCCATCAAGACTCCTCGATCAAGGCTTCTCACCATACTCCTTGCACTCTATGCTCCCGCGCTGCAGGTATCATCCCTAACCAACCAAATAGCTGTTTCTGTGAAATCACTAAGATTTTCTGACTATCCTAAGATACCAAAGTGGGCGGCGACGGGGAAGAGGAAGGGGGGGAAGGTGGGGCAGGAGAGGGGAGAGGAGGAAGGGGAGGAGGGGCAGCGTTGAGGCGAACTGATGATCACATCGCAAATCGGA